CTACCCTCAGAAAATCACAAAAAAGAAACGCGAATTCGCGTCCTTTTCGTCTTTCGTTTGTAACTATATTAGTTTTCACTTTTTATATATACGATGCTACATAGTTCGACCCAGCTCGTTGAGTGGTTAATTAAAAACTTGAGAAAGTTCAATTTTTAAGTCCTCGACCCACGTCATTAGCGACGACGCTCACTATAATTATAACCGAAAGGCATTTCTCTCCATTGAGAGTTTACAGTGAGCTGTAGAGTACCTGTCATATTCCAAAACTAAGCAAAAAACGGTTCTTTGCATTTTCCATGCTTTGCTGATCATTTTGATACCGGTTTTTTCAACAATGAACAAATTCATTCGTGCGCCGATGTTGATCGATAACGGTTTTTTAAACCGAAAAATAGCAAGTATGAGTTAATCCCTGGTGTCAGTATGTGATATGCCTATACTTCAGAAATAATGCTTCCCTGTATTTTGCAAGCTATATGCCGAGTTCAAGAGTAAAAACGATTCTATCGTGCAAATCCCGGTTTGCGCATATTTTCACGAAGAGATGCATTTTTTACTTTTTTTTTCAAGTAAGATTTCGATGTTTAAGAAAACTTTACGCCTTTCACCAAAAGTATTCTCAACAAACGCTTTGTAAACAATCACGGATATTAGAATTAGTTACTTGTGTGGATCTTCGGGCTTTGTTGTGGGCTCACAGCTAGTCTAACTAATGTGCTGCTTTGGGAACTCGAACCACGTGGCCAATTGGGTGGCCGACTGACAGAGAAGGATAGAAATTTTGTGGTAAAGGTGTTAATCCGAACTGTGATCCGTCAAGTGACTTTCATATCACTGAGTGGTGGCTCTCTAAAAATGAATTTCAAGGTTGAAGGTTTTCAGATGTTGACATCAAATGAAAAAACTGTGATTCACTATCCCGCTTTCAGGCAAGATTGGAAGGTATTCATGAAGCCAGAAGATCTAGACAAGCAACTATTTCTCATACCCATGGTTGTTCACAAAGAGTTCTCGAGAGCTCTTCTGATGAGAGGCGTAACTTTCTCCACTTTCTCCATTTCCCCATTTCTTCGAAACACTAAAAATATTACTTGAAAAAAACAAGGAAACGCATGCTCTTTGTGAAAATATGCCGCAAACCGGGATTTGCACGAAAAAATCACTTCTTATTTTTGTACTCAGGCATACAGTTTGCACAATGTAGAGAGCACTACTACTGAACCATATGCACATCATTCACTGACACCAGGGATTGACTCTCATTTGCTCAGTTTGAAGGGAAGGTATTGTCAAGATTGAAGCACGACCAAATTCGTCCATTTTGAAAAAAAACTGATATCAAAGTTATCAGTAAAGCATGATGAATGCAAAGGTCTACGTTTTGCTTAGATTTGGGATATGACAGCTAATCTACAGCTCACCGAATACTTCCAATGGAGGAAAACGCCACCTGGCTATAATTTTCAATATAATAAATGTAATATAATATATATAATATATATAATTTTTTATATATATATGATTATTTATTTATTTATTATTATTATTTATTTATTTTATATATATAATAATATATATATATATAATTTTTTGATTGAATCCTTGACAGAGCTCGACGAGCTAAGTCGAACTATGTAGCATCATATACGGAAGAGAAGTGAAAACCGACATAGTTATAAAGGAAAGACTAGGAAAACGCGAATCCGAGTTTTTTTGCGTAGTTTCCTGAATGATTGGGGTGGATATTGTACAGAGGGCACAGCGGATAGTATCGTGGTCTTTAACGAAGGCACAGGCGAGCACGCGACCCATCCCACGACATCGGCAATAGGTCACCGGGTTGAGCCAGTCGTAGTTGGTGATGAGGTCCGTGGAGACGTGACGTCGTCCTTGGCCTGCCGTAATCATTGAGCCAGAGCATCAAAGGGCCTAGGATCAGGCTATCTGCGGCTTCAATACGGTTCCCAGTCTTATCTCCTTCCATTGTTTGGAACCAAAAAATGGAGGGAGAATTCATGCGGAAATGGACACAATTGCAAAAGTCAACCATACGTACCGTAGACCTGGGTGCTAATGCATGCACTCCATTAACTAGTGCTTTACCCATCCTCTAATTCTCTTCCTTTTACAAAGAGTCTGACCTCGGATTCGTTACTTTGTAAGGCTACTGTCCTAGAAGAAATCTAAGATAGGAGGTACGCGGCGAGTGCGGCACCACTGTATAATGGTTCCTGTAGGGACGAACTCTCCAATAGTGGTGTTGCGCCCAGGATATACATACCTTCACGAACCCTGGACAGTACGACATTAAGGCGTTTGGGGTTACCGAAGGAAACCAGACTAATAACTGGTGTCAGGTTTGTGTGCGTAGTACATAGAATGACAATGGATTTTTTTGAATCCTGTGCGCTGGCAACAGTTCTAATGGTGATGTGGATGCCGGCCAGAATAAAAACACACACATATATGTAGCTGATCGCGGTAGGGGCAGATGATCATGATGTCTTCCGTTGGTATTTCGTTTGCCAAAAGGACGAACAGAACGGCAGCTACTCGTGCCTCAGTCTCGTTGCTTCGAGAGCGTTGATATGATATGATAGCGGTAGGAATTTCCTTATAGGGCACAGGCAATTTGGTGGGTAACCCTTGACCTTCTTTAAACGGCTATTCCACATTTGAGCTCATTATTATAGAAAACATAGAAATCGAATCCCATCGCCTTAGAATGTGAGCGGTATGTGGCACTGATTTTACAGGTCGGAGCATTTTCCACGCCTTTGGCGACTTTGAGGACCGATTGTGAGCAAAGAGCTGCTGCATGTGGTGCTTTTTGGGTGCCTTTGAAGGGAGGCAGTGGTGTAGTGTATAGTGTGTGCATATAAATGGCGTCACGGAGTCGTGAAGAGAGCTCGACGAAGCTGGCATCTGGGATCATGGATGCTTTGTCGAGAAAAACGAAACGAAAACGAGAATGGAAGGCACAACCCTCTATTAGTGGTAAGCTTGAGGCAATAGTTGCACGCAACCCTCTATTAGTGCAGCCCTCTATTAGTGCAGAGGCAATAGTTTATTGGGCGTATTGATTTTTAGGAATTGGATGTGAGAGTCTGAACACTGTCGGAGTAGGCTTTTTCAAGGAACAGAAGCGTTTGATGCTCCGAGGCCTCCATTTTCTGCTTTACGTGAGTGAATAGAAACTGGGATCGACATTATTGAGGCGTTGTCATAAGGGCCATAACGAATGGGAATGACAAATATTTCGTTAGCACACCGCACAGGATGGATATCTGGTGTGTTCATTTGCGCTAGTTTGGAGTGAATTACGTCCGATGTCGTGTTTTGTACTGCTGCGACTAGTACTGCTTTGCCTTTTCTAACCACCTTTACTGCCATGAACGCGGTGCATTGTGATTTGCTTGCCCCGCATGCGCTGTCCATGATGAGGACAGGGAAATCTTCATCGAACCGATTCATCGTGTTCAACTATCAAGAAGAATGTGACTATTAAGGACTACCCGTTCGCCTGTTACAACGACTGCAACAGCCCTTCGTGCTTTGGCAGGTTGGTTAGGAAGTCTCCGGACAAAATCTCCTGGGCTGAGGCCCACGCTTGGCTTTGGAGTGTAAATAGTCGTGCCTTCGGGTAATGTCAATATGAGGTTTGACTCATCATCGGTTAAGCTATGGAGGTATGTATGTCTCGGCGGAAATACGACCGTGTTGCGACCGTGTGATACAAATGCAAATACGCGGAATGTCTTGTGGATGTAGCTCTCGCAGTGACTGTTACATGCTCGCCGTCGTGGGTGATATTCACAATGCGAGCACGAAAGATGTCCGCTTGGTACGCTCCCTCTATATGCTGTCCAGCATTCCGGCCGGTTTCCTTAACCTTAGGTATCTGGAAACGAGCAAGCGTAGAGTATACGTTGGTATTGGGAGTGTTCCAAATTGCGGGATGCAACGACGTGCCCATGGTTTCGGATACGCTCCAGATAAGGTTTCTACGGTGAAACTGTAAAGGTCTCTAAGAAAGGCATGACCTCGCGAAGATTGAATTGAAATACCTGAAAATCAGAGAGTTTGTTGTTGACGTGCTGCTTATGGGTTTGCGAAGCCGACGTACACCTGATCTAGCAAGCGGTGGACTTGGAAAATACTACAGATCCGCCTTATATTGGCGGAGCATGTTTGAAGCATCAGGCTGAGAGTTGCATGCAAATAGTATGTCATCTAATTGATGCGGGTGAAAGGCCAAGGTGATAGAGGTGTTGGGAAGGAAGCGTGCGAAATCCACGAAAGGGTCTAGGCAATTCTTATTCACCCTGACTGAAGTGCGGTGGTCTATTATACGATTTTGAAAGGCTCGTTGAGCTCGCGATGTCATAGAAACGATGTATCCGAGCGTCTCAGTGAGATCTCGGTGAATAAAAGCAATTTTGTCCACACGCCATGCCATATAGGTTTGCGATGGTAGCTCGCTTGTCTGACGTTTTCCGGGTGGGGCAGCCCTTCCTCCATGAACTTGGTGGAAGGAAGCAGGATGTATACCTACACGAGGTCACCAATCAAGATGTCGAAATTATCGATACTATGTTTTCATGTCAAAATGTTGAAGAATTATGGGGGAACCACTATGTGCTCGGATTCAAGGCGCGCTCCTGTACCGAGAAGGGATTTCACGCGGTATAACACTGGGTGAATTCTTTTGTGGAGGCGTAATCCTCCCACACAATAAGCATCTTGCGCGCAATGCTGTTTCCGGTGGTGCGAGGCGAGCACCTTCAATACGCTCTCGGTGTAAGTCCAAGTAGTAGTGTCGCTGGCGGAAGCTCTCTATGGCTTTTGTTCTCTGTTTTCTGACGGCTTCTAGGGTGGAAGACGATCGGCCTTTGAAGGTATAGGCGCCACTGTGTTCGATGCATGGTGACAACCTGCTATAACCTGCTGCGGCGGTGCTGTTTTGAAGCAGGTAATTAGGGATGTAATAGGGTAATAAGGTCGAGTAAAAAGTTTTGATTGACAAAAGTTTTGATTGATTTTTTATCCCTTTCTAGGTTCGTTCGTAGGACCGCTCGGAAAGACTTCGTAGACTCATCCCTAACCTGTGCTTTTAGGGGGGTGTATAAGCATTCCCTTGTCGGTGCTCTACAAATATGACTCCAACCTTCGACTGTCGTCCGGAGCTGTCTGAGAGCTATCGTTTATCACAAATTGCTGTAAGGGCATAATCAATCAACGGTTGTCGCAAATACCTGTGGTGCCTCCAGAAGAGTCATCGTATCTCAACCCAAGGGTGCCTCGTGACGAAACACCTTCAAGGCAAGCAGAGAAGTGAACTACGTCCGAGGAAGGTTTACTCCGTTTTTGGTGAACATTCTCAGGGAATGCTCTACTTAACTTACTGAGGGTTCCACCGCAACCACGGAGATTCATCCACGACAGCGTTCGATCGCACGTAGCGAAATTGTCTCGCCAGAAAATTACCGAGCCTGGAAAGGAGGTGCTGCCCTATCCCCCTTATTCACTAGGTCTCGCTCCGTCTGACTACCATATGTTTCCTGCTATGAAAGATCACCTTCGAGATAAAAATTCGATGATTGCTCGGTAGCCGAAACTGAGACTTCCAGGTTTTCCGAATTGAGGATGCCGCCGTTCTAAGCCTCAGGAATCAAAAAACTGCCGGATCCTTGGACATATGTTGGGGACAGCCATAGAGACTATATTACTGATTGAGATCCTCTATCAATGAAAATAAGCTTTTCGGCACTATTCACCCTTTACTGCCCCACTTTGTCGAGGATGGGCTGGATTTCTATCGACTTTTTTTTAAAGAAGATGAAACCGTTTAGGAACTTGCTTGAAGGGGCAATTTGACTCGCAGAGTAAACATGATATCCATGTTCTAACACACCACTTAGGGGCACGTTTTCAGCAAGATAGGTGACCCAGCTCCATTTGGCACCGGCGCCTGTAGCGCAAGCGCCAGGCATCTTTATGACGAGTGGATGCGATATTCGTGTTCTACGTGTCGAATTACCCCTTTAAGCAAGTTTCTAGTCGGGTTTCATCCTCTTGAAAAAAATCCAGCCCATTCTCGACTGAGTAGGGCAGTGAAGGGTACATAGTGAAAAACCGATCAAAACTTTTTACTCAACCATACATTGGGGGATGGTATTTTAGGAGCTAGGAGGTGGCTCCAAGGGTGACTAACAAACCGCTTGGCTTCAAAATCGATTTCTTCATCTTTAAAGGTATTTTGAAGAGACCTGCCACCACGCCTGAGAGGCTGGATGTGGGCTCATCCTCCATCACAGCTCTCTGTGAAATGGCAGATTGATGAAAATGACAGGTCGACTCCATGATAGTCCCGCAATGCTGGCGATTAATGGACAAAACTTGAGTTTTGGGCGGGACTCGAACCCGTGTTTGTGCTTTCCGGACACCGTGCTCTATCCCATACACTACCGAGACCCCGCTTGCCCTCGTCTTCCTAAAGGCTTATATGCCATAGTTCATCAGCGCTCAGACGTACAACGTGTTGAGGTGGTCGGCCAATATCAGCACTGAACCGTTAAGCTGAGAGCTTGTTATAACTTGTTTTGACTTGATGTTTTTGTTAAAGGCACTGTTCGCGATGATTCAATGGGCGGATGTGTCGATGACGTGTCCGCCTCTCATTCGANTCGAATGAGAGGCGGACACGTCATCGACACACCCGCCCATTGAATCATCGCTACAGTGCCTTTAATTGGTGTCATATCGCCGTACTACGCGATGCGTAAGTCTCACAAGTTTGGCGATTCATGGACAAAACTCAGTCTCGAACGGGACTGATATAAGCCATTGAGAAGGCGAGAGCAAGCGGGGTCTCGGTAGCAGAAGGGATAGAGCGCGATGCCCGGAAAGCACAAGTACGGGCACGAGTCTGAAGTTTTGTCCATAAATCGTCAACTTTGCGAGACTTTCGCACAGCGCACTGCGGCGATATAACAGCAGTTAACAAAAACATCAAGTGAACACTCAATGATATTTTTGGGATGAGGTGAATGCGGAGTTCGCGAGTCACCCTTTTCCTGTGATTTTGAGCTGTCTCTAGCAATGAGATTGTTATTAGTCGTCGATCCCTCCGAGGAGGTAATGGGCTGATTAGGCTGCGACGAAGCCTCGGAGGGACGCTCGTAGTCTGTAGTTGACGCATCTCCCACGTCATACACGAGACGGAAAGCCTCTGGGTGGCAGTGGGTAACGGAACTTCTCTCCGATCGCGGCAATCTCCCTTGCGGCATGCAGCAAATGTCACTGCAATTACCGCATCACCCCGCCTCCCAGCCAATCGATATGACGCAATATTTTTCGTTGGTTGTCCTTCTTTTTCATTGGTTTTAGTGGTTTTTTTATTATTCTCTTTCTTGTTTTTGTGTTTATTAGACTTATTCAATTAGAATGACTCCTCCTATAATAGCGACGATCACGTCTGCATTGGAATTGAAGAGAGCAGCTAGCCAATCAAATAATTAAAGGACTCCCTACCTACAAATTGCGCGCTCCAATCTTCCATCGCACTTCTGCGATACGTGGCGGGTGCGGCGTGTGCGACGCCGTCTTCGGGGAGAAGATTCCGGACCCGGGTGGCAGTTGTTTCACAAGTTCGTCGTTATCAGACTGCTTCAAAGTTCATCATCGGTTATCTGGAATGTATTAGGCAATGTTACATAAATAGATTATGTGTTGTGCTGTGAACCACGGTCCAAGTAAAAGTCGATTCCGCATTGCAGGCTAGTTTTCACTGATATTGCTATGACCGAGGATCCCTGTGAAGAGTGATGCTCTGGAAATCGAGAGTGTCAACGGTTTCAAAACGGGGAGCCCGGTGTCTCGTCTAGACATCCAAGCAGGATGTTTGTCTTGAGTTGTTCTGGTAACGGTGGTTAA